CTCTTATTCTGAAAGCGCTTTCCATTTCCTTGGAGACAGGCTCCGAAGTGAGGATCTGTGTGCGGCTGGTCCGCTGGTGTTGTGGCCGGTTGGGACGGTACCGTGGGGGATCCGGGAGGGAAGAGCCGGAGCGAGGGCGATGTTTTGGGCGGTGGCTGGCTTCGGGGCAAACCCACAGGGCAACTGTGGACCGTGTGGGCGTGGCTCTTTTCCTTGACTGGCACAGAAGCCAGAACTTCAGTCCTCGTCGGAGCGGATAGAGGCCGGAGGTTCCTCACTGGAGCTTGAAGGCTCCAGGGCTCAGAAAGAGCCATGCCAGGAAAGCTGCAGCGCAGGCCTGTGGGCCTGGCCCCGCAGTCAGAGCCGGGTGAGCTGCCCCGGACGCGGTCCTCCACAGTGCTCCACCCCTAACCTGTGCTTCCCCTTCAAGTGACCTTCAAACAATATTTTGAATAATTACCAATTTGTGCTTCAGACTTCCAACTGGAGAACTGGAAGGTGGAGATGGAGGGTCACTCTCCACGTCTCCCGCCCCGCCCCCTCCTGGTCACACAAAACCCCAATGCACCCCGAGCCGGTCTCCCCGGGGGTTCCTCGGTGGTGGCGAGTCACTGGCAGGCCTGGTAAGGCCTGGCCGTCATTCCCTGCATTTCTAGTCTGGAAGGAAAACAATACAGGCATGGAGTTGCACGAGCCCGCGTGCTAGATTCTTAGCTGTACGCGGGTCTGCTCCCGCGCGCACCGCCACTGGTTTGTTGTTGGTCTTTTTCGATCTCTTCAAGCGAGCGTTAAGCTTTCCTGTGGCTGAGCTTTCGGCTCTAACGTGCTGTTTCCACGTCTCTGCTTTGATTGGCAGAAACCCCGTAGAGAAAGACCCTAAATGCAAAGTTCACTTCAAAATAACCCTGTCCAAGACTGCCCTTGTTTCTCTTGTGTGGGTTTTTTAAGCATTCAGATCCAGGTTCTAGGTCCCGAGTGAGCTCTGCCGGTGTAAAGCACCGCGTTCGTGGGTCGGTTTATCATTCCTCTGGTGGAACTCCATGCCTGGCAGAATCAAGTTAAAGGAGGGAACATTTCGTCGTGACGGTTCAGTCCACGAACGCAGGAGAGCGCAGCACAGCAGCGTCCCTCCCGGACTGGAGTGGAGAGGAGGTGACAGGAAGGGACCAGCGCAAGCTGGAGTCTCCAGCTCCTCCCCCCTCCCCCCCGCCGTAACTTATTGCGATCTTGAATTCCTCAATGGATTTGGGCATCTGTGCTCGCCCTGGAAATGCCCTCACAGATAGAGCTAGGGGTTTGTGATTCACATCTATCTCCTCGTCCCTTTTCAAGTCAATGAGGATGAGAGCCGAGAGGAGCATCATGGGTGCTCACCTGCGTCTGTGCAGGGGACAGACATCGTCCTGGTGGGCTCTGTCTTCCCGCAGACAGTTGTCTTCACACTGGGAAGCCGGTTGACTGAGCGTGGGGTGCTGTGGTCAGAGCTGGCTCTTCACTTACCTGCTAGATGGTCCCGGACTGAGGTTTGCCTTCTTTGAACCCCGGCCTTTTTTTTTATTATTTTTAATCTATAAGCAGAAATTAACAACCCCTTGTTCACTGGAATTCTTCAAATACTGCATAGGACATCAAAGCTATTACAGACATCTTCGACATGTTAGAAACTACCCAGTGCATGCGAATTGCTGCTTCTCTCTAGAAATAGGCGCATGAGAATCCTGACAGGAGGTTTGAAGCATGATGTCAGGTTTGGGCCTCAGTCTCTGCTGACGTGGCTCTGCAGAGCCTTGTTTAGATCCAGCCTCTGGGCCCTGGGGTGGCAGCAGAGGCTGAGAGAGGGGGGCTCGGCCTCTGTCCATGAGTGGAGCCGAGTCAGGGCCGCGTCTCCTGGAAGGGCGGAGTTGCTCATGGCCCATAGGCTTGGCCCAGTCTGTCCCACGGGATCCCTTCCTGGGGAAAGGACTGGAGTACAAAGGAGAAGCGAGGAGGGCCACACAAGTCAGAGTGTCGTTCACCATCGCTGGACTCCAGGAGATCGCGCCCCGTCGGCACACAGAAGGCTGCCAGCAGGCAGCTGAGTGTGCACAGGTGTGCCAGCGGCCCGCTCCGCTCCCTTCTCCGCCGTGAAGGACCGCAAGCGAGACTACGGGGAGGAAGAGCCGTTGCTGGCAGTGAGCACCCCAGGGAGGCGGAGGGCACCCACGGCCGCTTTCGTGAATGTGGCCCACGTGGATGGACGGGCAGCGGGAGGAGGCAGGGGCCGTGCACCCCAGGGAGGTGGAGGCCCCACGGCCGCTTTCGTGAACGTGGCCCACGTGGATGGACAGGCAGCGGGAGGAGGCAGGGGCCATGCCCCCCAGGGAGGCGGAGGGCGCCCACGGCCGCTTGCGTGAACGTGGCCCACGTGGATGGACGGGCAGCGGGAGGAGGCAGGGGCCGTGCCCC